CCCTGCCTCTGCGTGGGGAACCCGAGAACTGGAGCGGCGGCTCCATTGGCAAGGCACGGACGGCTAGCAGCCGTGCGGGCGGTGGATCTGGCGTCCCGACCGAGCGGGCGGTGGGATCCGGTGGTCGTTGGCGGCCGGCGGCGGCTTCTGTGGTGGCCGGTGCGCGCGATCTGGCGCCTCCCCTCCTCCCCTGTTCAGCGTGCGGGCCAGCCTGGTCGGGCCGCGCTTCCCTTGATCGTCGGTTCTGTATAGGAGGCACTGCTGGTGGCGGAGATCTAGTCCGGGCGAAATCCCTGGCCGGCCATGGCCGACCGCGCCAACGGCGGCGCCTGAGGGCGTCGTTCCCCTCCTTGGAGGCGTCGGTATGGACTGATCTCCTCACTTCCCCTTCCCCTAGGTCTCCCGGGTGAAAGCCCTAACTTAGTTGGGCGGTGGCGGCGCTCACGGTGGCATTCCCTTCTTGAAGGCACTGCTTTGGGAACCTTGGGGTTGGGTGGCCCTTGTGGGTGGTGGGCGATGGCGGTGGTGCGGCCCTATCCTAGCATGGATGTACGTCCGTTGCTTACAGATGGACTCGCGTAGATGAAGGTCGTCGTTTGACGTTGTGGTGGTGTCAATGGCGGAGGACCTGCCAAGGTTGACACCTCAATCTGCTCTGAAGATGGGCTAGTGGAAGATGGCGGCAACGATACATGTGATTGCGTCGGACCGGTTTGTGCCCCGAACCAGGCAGGTGGCTCGGGCCTCCAGCTTTAGATGTTAGGTTTAGGTGAGAGGTTTGGGTATGGGGCCCAGTTTGCACTCCTCCATTATATGGATAGGAGTAGCGACAGTTGTTGCCAAGATGGTGGATTCATGCATATTGTTGTTCTACTTTGTAAGATCCTCAAGAATAATCAATAAAATGGCCGCATACATTTTCCAGATGCTCTATCTCGATTATTGCGAGACGGATCGATCTCTTGCCTGCAGCATTGGTGGATGGGCCGGCCCATTTAAATGGTTTTACACACCTTCCACGGGAGAGCTGAACCGGTTTTTAGGAACCTTCTGTGTGAATTTCCGTCCAGGTTTTTTCATCACTCCTTTTTCTGTGATTTTCTCTACTGTTTTTTCATCAGTTTCTATTTTTTTCTATTGTTCAAGTACTTGTTGACCTTTTGTGGATGCACATTCAACATTTTTAGTACACATGTTCAACATTTTTCAAGTATGTGCTGAATTCTTTTCAAATACAAGTTGAACGTTTATTTTGTGTTTTTTTTATTTTTTAGTTTACTTTCTTTTATTTTCATTAGTGTAAGAACATTTTTAGCACTTTGCACAGTTTCAAAATATATGTTAAACATTTTTAGACACACATTGAAGATCTTTCCTAGTATAAAATGAATACCAGTAAAAACTGTGAGAGAAACTAAGAAAACCTATGGAATATAATACTAGAAAACAGAAGAAAACCGATGAAGAAAAAAAGAAAACCAAAAGAAAGGAAAAGTAAAAAAAAAAGACCAAACAAGTACGTCTTGTGGCCGTATGCATCGTTCTGATGCAGAGGCTGGGGAGTCCCCTCTTTTCGAAAAAAAAACAAAAAAAACAAGTACGTCGACCACGCGAAGACTACGACCAGCGATCGAGCAACGAGTGAAAAAAAAAAGGATGAAACAAAAGCATTTGCACACATGGAGCATGCAGCTGGAAAAAACCTCGGTATGTTAAGTTCTCCATTGCGGTGGTGGGGTTCGTTCGGGTCTGATGGGAAGATTCTCTCCTCTGCTTCTCGTAAGATATCATCCTCCTTCCCACCTTCTTGATCAGATGAGGCCGCAGATGACACTACCATCTTCATCTAGGAATCCCCTGCCCAGCCAACAGTTAAACTCTACAGATGCACTGTGAACATGCAAGAACATAAATCTTGAGCGCTTGAAATCAGGGATGCATCAAGCGCGCCGTCCTCGGCTTCACATCTTCAAAGGTCAGATGAGACCAAGCAGATTGGGCAAGCTTGATGATATGTCGAGCTCCCTGCATAACGAGACGGCACATGTTGATTCGGACCGAGTAAGAGAACACACGTCACTTAACTCAACATTCACATGCTGAGATTCACTCTGCAACATACATTGAACTCCAATGTAAACACATAACACTTAATTAAGCTTTCAAAATCAGGGTGCGTCAAGAGGGTCGTCCACGGCTTCCCAGGTGCCAGGATATGTCAACTGCCGAGGAGCGTAAATAAGCATAGCAAAGTACTAACGTAGTTGTGTTTGCCGATTACCACGATAGTTAGAAAATGAACAAATTCAACGTTTGAACTGACTGATGGGTTTTCAGTAGCAAGGAGCAAAGACATGGAGTACGAGATGCTGTTAGTGCACGACCCAGAATTTTGAAAACTTTGAAGCAGCCAAGTCTGATCATCAAGTGTTAAAGAAGAAAAGCCAAGTCTGAACTAGCTGTCTTTTGACTGTTACCTTTTTCTTTCAGTGTGTTCTGCACTGAAATGATTGAGATGCTTTGCTTAGCACAAGTGGGCATGGAATGATTCAGATGCTTTCTGCACATATTTTTCATATCAACCCCGGTTTTGTCTGATTTTATGCCGCCCTGGAATCGTTTACAAATAATGTTTAATTTCGATGATCGTTTGCACAAACGAGTTCATTATCCTTCCAAGTAGGGCACTTGCCAGTTGGGACAATATCTGTTACTGCTCATACTGATCGATGGGTAGGATCTGAACATGGGAAAACAAAAATTACCCGGCTCAGCTCTTGATTGAAGAAACTAGCAAAGTAGAAAGGCTTTGCTCTGAAATATGAGAGGATGGGAGGAGCTAATCACAATCAGAGAAGATGCAACCCCCACTAATTGAGCCTGGCATCTATTCTTCCTCTCCGCGTTGGTCTTTCTCGCCCCTTCTCAACCAGCGGCTCCGCTCCATCCATCCATCCACGCTGCCGCTCCTTCTCAACCCCCCCTGCGGCTGCTGCTGCTGCTGCTGCACCTACGTCGGCTGCTGCTTCGTTGCTTCACCTGTCTGCTGAATAAGGTTTGTCTCCCTGTCTCCAGTTCAGTCGTCGCCTTGAAGTTTTATAATTTGACCAGCTTCGGATATTTATACTTTATTCTCACTGATTAGTAGGAGTATATAATTTCACGGGCTTTGGATCTTGGGTGGATCTAGATTTCACTGGCTTTGGATATCAAGGTGGGTCTGGAGTTTATTTTCTTTGAAAAAAAGGTATTTGGATCTAGAGGACGATACCTCAAGTTAATTAACTCTGGATTTTCCATCACTTCAGGTGGATCTAAAGCAGGCCTCCAAGAGGTTGATGTAATGACCGCAATGGAAACTATTTCAGTTACTCCGAACTTGCCTTTCAGTTACTCACTCTTGCAGCTCAGGTACAGTCTCTGGCCCCATTACCTTTTTGCTTCAGAAACTTCAGTTAATTAACTCTGTATTTCTCGGACGGGAATCATTTCAGGTGGATCTAAATCAGGCCTCCACCGACGGCGCCTCCGCTGCACGTAGCATGCTTCTGCTCCTGGAGTAATGGCCGCAATGGAAGCTTTTTCAGTCACTCCAAGCTTCCCTTTCAGTTAATCACTCTTCCAGCTCAGGTACTGATGCTTAGAGCATTATGCTTTTCCTCTGAAAATCCTTGGAAATAAAAAAGTTGTTTCTATGTTATGGATGGATTGTTGAGACGACTCTAAAGTCTCTGCCTCCGTTGGTTTCTTGGCCTTTTTGCTGGAAATTCGTTCCATTCAGCAGGCTGTTTAAATGTTTCAGGTGCACCGCAAGTATAAATAGAGAGCCAAGATAAAACAAACTTGCCCAGCCACTGATGGCTGCAATAATGGTGAGCGCTTCAACTGGGGTGATGAACTCTCTCCTGCGTAAGCTGGCCACCTTGATGGGGGACGAGTTCGCCAAGCTAACGAACTTGAGGAAGGAGGTTAAGCACATCATTGATGAGCTGGGCAGTATGAAGGGTGCTCTGGAGAGCCTTGCAGATGTGGATGAGCTAGATATACAGACGACGAGGTGGAGAGACGAGGTCAGGGAGATGTCTTATGACATCGAGGATATTATCGATGACTTCATGTGCAAAATTGGGGAGAAGAAGAAAAAATCTGGGTTTGTCCACGACACTATTCAACGCCTCAAAACTTCAAGGGCCCGCCATCAGATTGCTGGTCAGATTGAGGACATAAAAAAACTTGTGCGTGAAACAAGTGAACGGCGTGAAAGATATAAGCTCGATGCCCCCAAATCACATAGTGTGGCAATTGACCAACGAGTTGTCGCACTCTATGAAAATGCAGCTAAACTTGTTGGTATGGAGGGCCCAACCAAAGAGATTATCAGTTGCCTAAACGATGAGGAGAAGGATAAAAAGCTGAAGGTTGTATCAATTGTTGGTTTCGGAGGTTTAGGTAAAACAACACTCGCCAATGAGGTATACCATAAGCTGAAGGGGCAATTTCACTGTGGTGCATTTGTGCCGGTGTCTCAGAAGCCAAATATTCCAAAACTTCTACATAGTTTATTAACCCAACTTGGGTGTGGCCAATCATTTCATGATTGTGAGTTAAATGTTCTTCTCGACCAACTCAGAGAAAATCTAAAAAAAAAGAGGTACATATTCTTACTTTGTATATTGTTGTTTGTTCCCATACGCCTCCGATACATTTTTCTTAGATATACATAAGCTATATATCTTTGTTAATGAATATTCATATATTATCATACATGACGAACTTTATCTGTAATTAGTTTCTCTACTATAGAAATTGGAACTAATGTTTGTCTCGCTTCACGTCTTTGGAGTTCGGATTCATAGGCTCGTCACTGGGAACATCCCTATCACCTCGTACTTAGTATGTTAAGTTAGTAACAAAGCATCAATCTCATCTGAATTGAGAGAAGGTATTATTTCAGCAGTTCAAGCTTCGGAGCCCGTATATCTAATGCCATCAAAGAACAAAGGACAATAATATGAAGCACTAGTTACGTAGTCATGAAGTCTTCTCAAAGCACTAGGTACATACATCTTTTACGTTTTTGTGACCATCACAATTATATAAGACTCTGGCATCACTTATCGCATTCTTTAAAAACTATACCTAGTGCCCAAGGAAGCACTCCAAGTTATTATATATAAAAGACTCCTCCCTCCCTCTCTCTCTCTCTCTCTCTCTCTCTCTCTCTCTCTCTCTCTCTCTCTCTCTCTCTCTCTCTCTCTCTCCTAGTCATCCACTACACCTTGCTCCTTTTCTATTAGGCCAACCACCTTGGGCATGGGCCATCGGTCACTCATTCAACACTCCCCGTCAAGAGGGGTGATAGATATCTACTAGCTTATATCCGCGCGACGACACGCCACGCCCTGTTGGCAGCGTATGCCATTGTATGTTGTTGTTGATACATTTTTCTTATTTGTTAGTCCTGGTAAAGGGTGCAGATTGTAGAAGTGGTGTTCAAGGGTGTTTATTTAAGCAAATTCAAATATTTTACATGAAAAAACTACAGTGCAGATCGAAATAAAATAAAGTTGCATAAGTTAAACAAAAACAGAGTAAGAGCAAGTAGATCATGAACTTCGTACTATATGTGCCAAAATTCGTACACTCATATACAGATCACAACAACATAATTCAATTTTCATCTGTTGAGGAAGCCATAAATGTACCATTTTCAATTTCTCCACTCTCCATTTGCGGAAGCGCTGCTTGCTTCTACAACTTCCACATTGTGTGCTTGCCATTGTGGACAATCTTCTTTTAGCCGTCGTCCCATCTCTTCTATGTAAGCAAAATGTTGGTCGGACTCAGTGGCTCCTAGTATATTAAGTAGGCCAAAGATCAACGTTCATCCATGATTTCATTAGGGACAGGAGTGCAGGAATGGAGGCACCATTAAGCATATCGATGATGCTAGCTTGAGAAAGCAGCAGAGGATTACATGGAATATATGGCTGTCAAATGCGAATAGGTGGAGATGACTCCTGGTTTTCCATGCGTGAGCAGGGCTAGGGGAAAGAAAGCATTCTTACCACTTGCAAGAGTAAACAAACCGAAGTTCTACTGTCATAAAATGCGTAGTTACTTCTATAAACAGAACAGAACAATTTGACAGCTAGGTACATTGGTACTTATTATTCACACCAAGCTGATGACATCTTAATAAATACATAAAAGAATGGTTAATTAGTAGGAGAAAATGTCGGCAAAGAAACATTCAGAAACTAAAGAGAAATGAAGCAGCAGAATCACTTAAAGTGCATCATGTTATCATTGTCCATAGAAATAAGGACATGATCCAGTAGACAAAGTGGGCAAAGAGACATTCGAAGGGAACTAAACCAGTAGAGCCACTTCAATATAGTCTCGTTCATACCATTCAAACTGACTACAATGGTTTAATTTGCACGCCCAGCCCACAACAGTATTGAAGTGTCATGTTGCTATTTTCCACACTAAGAAAACACCGAACGTACTTATGAATTCACCTATTGATTGCTGGTAATGTATATATGTTTTTTCTTTCCAGAAGATTAGCCCCAGCTTGGTTCGGACAGATAACCCTTCAATACATCATCAGTGCACTTCCAAGTTAAAAAAAGAAACGTTTTGAAGGACTATACTCTTTTGCTTCTTCTAATCCATGCCTTACATTAATCCTGCTACAAATGATTGGAGAAAGTAAATAGGATGACAGATGAAGTAATTTGAAGGTGAAGCATCATACTAAGCAAATTATCATGATCATATAGTAAAGTAAGATAACAACGATACTAATCCAACTCTTGTATGCCTAAACTTATTGTACCTCCCAATTGTGATGCTGATGTTCAGATTAACAAAGATAAAAGAATTAAGATATTTTCAGGCTAGGTTCTAGCTAGATCATCTTCTGTTGGCATATGAAGAATACAAAGAACACATTACCGTCTCTATGGGCCATTGGAACACATTGCAGATAGCAACAACTATACACATGCATCTTTTTTATCAGATTCACATGAATGTATAAGCTACAGTGGCCACAAAGTGAAGCAAGAAGTATGAATGGAAACTTATATGAAACCATATGATGCCTTACCAGTTACCGCCATCCTGCTCAATACCATTACGTAAAATAGCAAAGAATGATGACATGGCATGAAATAATATGACATCATAAACATATGCACAATTATCTAGATTATAAGTAATGCATGTTTTCTTTTGCTACCATGGCTTAAATATTGCATACTCAATGGACTGTATACATTTGTTCAGATTCATAAAGAAAAATAAATATACATCCATGCTAGGTTCTAGCTAGAAGATCAAGTTCTCCAAAAGTTCATGAAAGCAGTGAGTTGTGCATTCAACAGAAAAGAACAAGAATAGAAAACTTACCAGATAAGAGCAGTTTGAATGGGAAATTTTCTGTCAGAAAAATCAACAATTATCTGAAATCTTGCACTGAGAGCGTGCAAAAAAATGATAATCTTGCAACTGAATCTGCCAGACTACCCACATAAATTCTTCACTTCAATTAGAATTTAGAAGCCAATTTCTGAAAATAAGAAACTTTGATAATTGCCTACCTTTTAAAGCATGAGCACAAGTGGGCTGCTGCACCTGTGCTTGCTCAATCACAATATTCAGAAAATTTCGACAGTAGAACATCTAGTTCAGAACGATTTTTCCAAGGCAAAATCCATGTCAATAAAGTGAATAGAACCTATGATCATGGGATTTGGAACCACAGTAGTCGCAAGGAAAAATATGAAGAAGAGGGCGGAAAATTTTGCTCAGTGGTACTCACTGATCAAAGACCAAGACATGTGACTGGATGGAGAAGCTACATCACGTTGCTTCCAGAGACCAAAACTGAATATGAAAGCTATTTACATTAGAATATAATCAACTATATCTGTGGACATACATTTCTAGTACGTACGTATCAGCACTCCAGCATCTATATATTTGTGCTACCATATATGTAAAAGTGTAGCTAGTCTCCAAATTTTAGTTTGCTGCAGAAGTGTCAAGATACAGATGTATCTAGCACTGTCATAATATGCAACACTTACTCCAGTAGACTAAATTCTTATTTGCCTCCGGTTGTCTATGTTATCGCTTCACTCCATAAGTCCATATATGTACATCGTGCAATGCCATGATAACACAGAAAATATCTCTAGAAGAAGCTGAACACCTCTTAATGTATCATATGGCAGGTAAACTGATGTTCAGAACAATCATAAAAAACATGGAGGGTATGATAATAATAAACATTGTTACATCCTTGTACGAACCTGATCTCACAGACTCAGGGAAAGTTTTGAATGCCACTTTACCTTTTACCATTACACTAAAACATCAAAGAGGTAATTAGGACATGAATTTATAAGTATGCATATCACTAAGCCACACTCAAGCACATATTGTAACTTCTCAAAACTGAATTACAAAAAGGAAGCAAATTAGAAGGGGTAGACGTACGGAAGTCTGTCTTCTTTGACTCAAGCCATCCGTGAAAACTGGCCAATATACATGTCAGTCATTATACCATATACTGAGAGAGAGAAGCTCATGAGAGAGGGGCCATCAGCAGCCACCGCAGTGAGAGGGAGAAGCCGTTGCGCCATGGGAGAAGAAGCAACAGCCAACGCATGGTCAGGGGGAGAGAGGGAATTGCTGCTGCAGCCATCAAGAGAGATAAATTAGCAGCTGCAGCTCCACTTTTTAGTACATATGCCAGGGCGAGAAAGATAGCAATAGTACCTCCGCGTGCAAGAGGAACGACTGTGCGTTCACTGGTGATCGCGGACACGGCAAGCCTGCAGGGCCTCTCCCCCGCTCACTCTAGAGCCAGATCGAGAGACTCACCACAGATTTTTTTTTTTTGAGAAACAGCCACCGGCACCACAGGGACTCGCTCTGCTCTTCCCCATCCCCCTTCTCTCTTTTTCGCCCGCCTCCGAATCCAGCCACCACTGGTTGCCTTCCACACCACCAATCGCCTGAATGCGCCCAGGCACGCGGCGGGACTGGCCTGTCTACCGTCGCCATCCATGACGTTGCTGCCGCGGGATGGGCACCGCGGATGGCAGCAACATGACACCCCGAACCGGAAGTGTGCGTGAGGTGCAGAGAGGCGGAGCCGCGAGGGGTGCGGCCGGCGCACACCTGAAACCTAGGCATTGGCAGCAACACGCCACAGCCGTCGACCGGCCGACGTCACGCACAAGGAGAGGTCGCCGTCGACGTATAGCACCTCCACGCGCAGAGTTGCGGGGACAACGCCATGAAGATGGCCATGGCGGCAGGGATCCAGGACGGGGGGCTCCAGCGGCACGATGTAAGGATGGGGCGGTACGGGACGGCCCGAAGGGTCGAAGCGAGCCCTTCCCTTTTATAGAGACGTCCGGCGGTGTAACAGCGGCGCAACAGCGGCATCAGATATAGTACTCCCTCCGTCCGGAAATATATGTCGGAGAAATGAATGTATCTAGACGTATTTTAGTTCTAGATACATCCATTTTTATGCATCTCTCCGACGAGTATTTTCGGATGGAGGGAGTATTAGCCTGGAGACTTCCGTGAGAGGGAGAGAATCAAGAAGAGAAGCGTGGACCAAAA